CCCCAAAACCCCAAAACCCCAAAACCCCAAAACCCCTTCTAACAAGTAATCTTTAATAATAAAATTATCGCACAAACCTCATGGATCCTATCTATTACTGTGGAGTATGAAGCCAACTTACTTGCAACTACACAAGGCTGTGTCGGTTGCATACTTATCAAAGCTTTATGGAGAAGTGTGAAGAGAGGATGGAAATGGGGCTTCAGAGGTGGAAGGAGGGAAGGAAACATTCTCTGGGTGGTAAGTGTAGTAGGCAAGTTTGAGTGATTGTTTTGGAATATAAGGAGGAAATTATGATTGAGTAGTATAAAGGTATGCTTTGTATAGATGCTGGTGAAACTGAGAAGCAGCTTTTTGGAAGTGAAGAGACTTTTGGTAGGATATTACTTGCAGTCTGGTCTGAAGCGAAAGATAGAGAAAAAGCTTTCAATCTAAAGGAGTACTTCTCTATTAATATTGAGTGCAAGTTGTACACCAAAAAGTTTAAGTCATTAAGACTGCCTAAAATTGGTCCTTATTTCACCCATAAGATATCAGACAAGGCTAAAAAAACCTTGCCTTGAGTATTTCATGTCTATGAAGCATAAATTGGGTAGTCTGAAAATTTTATCTGGCACTCTACATGCTAAGCTTCGATGTTATTTGCCTCTGGTAACTAAGAACTCCTTCAAAGTTCAGACGCTATATGTGAAAAGTTTTACAATTCCAATGGCTCAGCTCAATAGGATTCTTGTAGCTTACATGACATCCAAATATCTACATTTCGATCAATGAAGGATTGTATGAAACAGTAACTTCGAGCTGCCTTCCTGCTTCAGTCAGGGTATGCAAAGGAGATCTACTATAGACACACTAAGTCTAACAAACTGTTATCTCCAAGGTAAGAATCGATTATCTTAGCTTACAAACCTTATACTATTTTCTGTATGGAATACCCTTCCTAACTTTCTGGTAGGTCCTAGCCCAACATTTCATGAAGACAACCAAGATAATCTGAAAGAATACTTGGAAGCTCTGTTGTCGATGGCTAAGATCGAGATTCGTAAAATTTAGAGATAATTCATCAAAGAGTTAATTCAATCTGTGGTATCATAACAGCCAGAAGTCAGTGTATGGATAGAGATAGTGCAAGTAGTATAGAGGGAGATATGTATTTTTGGGAGATTTGGAGTTGATTTTATGTGAAATAACTGAGTGCTAGATAAATAACAAAGAAAAATAACTTTGTTTAGTTCTCCGCTCTGATTTGTCCCCACGTGCAATGAACTTTTCAAAAAATATTTAACTCTCAAAAAGTGTTTTCTCATCATATTTGACATAAAACCCTCTCTAAGCTGGTAGAAATGGTATAATTCACTCTATATGAACAGCCCAGTTTCCATAGAAAATAAATGCTCTCAGCAACTGAGAAGCCTGTGGATGTTAAGTAGAATACTCTCAAATGTATTGTTATGACCATTCCTTAATCAAGTTTAAGAGTAAGCACTGGGAAGTCATCACTTGGGACCTTAGAGCATGGAGGAAGGAGATTGGGATCGGGATGGGCACTAAGTGTTACACAACAGCACAGAGAGCAGAGAAGAACCTTCTTCGGAGTGAAGAGTCCTTTGACTATATGATCTCCATGATTTCGTGCGGGCATGTGTAGCCTAATGCTACTACTCCTCCAAAGTACCTCTAAGGGTTTATATAGAGGAATATTTTACCAGCATTTTTATTGTTATAGCAGGATACCTGAAGAACAGTTTCGGCAGACATCTAGAACTAAAGACCACAATAATGAGATTCCGTAAATTAGAAAGATTGATCATAAAGAAAGATAAACAAGGAGAAAAAATTGTTTTTGAAGACTATTTTAGTCCTCTAAAGCACCAAGTTGATGCACTTACTATTTCAGAGAAGAGAACTGGCCAGAGGCTTAAGTGGTGTCTTCCATTAATCATAAAAAAATCCAGGGATGCTACAGAGAGTCTCTTTGAGCTACTTTTTGATCTTGGTCAAAGACTTAAAGAGGCTATTCTCAATTTGAGATTTTTACCAAAGCATAATCTTTGCTCAATGCGAGTTTGGAATTGATGTTAGTAATAAATTTCCACCTCCTTCTGGATGGAAGAGGAGAAGCAAAGTTGTAGAGAGAATTCAGGCCATTGGATGTACTTTTTCATGTAAGGTGTTTAGCATTTTATTTCAATAGTTACACCTATTATTGACTGTCTTACGTAACCTATAATGATCTGGCTAAGTCTTAGCTATAGGGAGTCCAGATGAATTTGGAGACATTGTGAGACAGTTTTATCCAGAATCTAAGATTAGAGTAATCGATTAATTGCTCATTCGAATTTTTCTTAGTATTTTGGCAATTGAGAATTTCAATTTGTTATTTACAACCTCATTGTCATCATCCAAATTATTAGAGTGATGAGCATTGACCATGAATGTCATCATTGTATATTCAGCAATAATTAAAGATTAAGAATCCATAATAGTTTATTCCCAGAATTTTTTCACTTCTTAAGTCCGATTGACCACTTCCTTTCAAAAGAAAATATGCTGAATAAGATTACTATTTTGGATCCTCTGAATTGGTCAGACTCCTATATCCAAGCAAGTAATTAAATAGGGTACTTAGAAATTGTGGAAGGGTAAATTAGAACCAACACTCAGATCAAAAGCAGATGGCTTACTAGAATGGACCAAAGGAAATCTTCGAGTCCCTATTTGTTATTGTTTCAGTTAAACTTTCCTGAGTCGGGGTTTTGGGGTTTTGGGGTTTTGGGG